AAAAACCACAAAACCAAAGAACCATGTGGCAAAGAACCACGTATCCTTCAGTATGTACTACACCTCAAAATCAAGAAAATAAAAATTCTTACAACTGGGCCAATAAGTAACATCATGACAGATGGGAAGAGAAAAGATTAAAGTTGTAAAGAATTTCATTTTATTTGGATTCACGACCCACACCTATGAGATCAATCAAAGAATATATTTCATAGGCATATCTGATGTCAAGAACCTTGTAAAATGTGGAAGAGCAAGGATTATCACTTTGAGAACTGAAGTGTGACTTAACCACGTTATACCATTTTTCAGTTACATCGTATGTATGTGAAAGTTGTGCAATTAATAAGGAAGAGCAAAGAATAATTGATGCCTTTGAATTGTGTCACTGAATATACCATGGGCCATAAAAAGAAAGAGCGAAAGAACCAATAAATTTAGAGAAAACATAATAGGAGCCAAAACAGTCAACCATATTTTGTGGACCTTATTTGGATACATATCTAACCAAACAGGAAATAGTTTAAACATGTCCAAAACTATTTAGAAATTGGAAACTTAATATCCATTTAATAACATTAAAATACTGTTTTAATTTATAGATATGATAATAGCATTGTGATTATTATTTTTTTATCATTTGGATGTATATCCTTAATTATTTTTGGAGGCAAGGATGATGAGGCTTCACCTCTCATATGTACTTCAGGCATGTTGCTAGGAAGACTATTCATTGGAGAGAGACATGATGCTTGAAAAGGTAGAGGATAAACAGAAGAGAGAGACCTTTGACTAGGTGAATTGACATGGTGACTGCCACAATGGTCTTTACTGTGTCAGAAATTGTGAAGATGGCACAGGATAGGATGGGGTTCAGATATGTTGCTCATAGGGTCACTGTAAGTTGTACTTGACTCAATGGCACCCAACAACAATATTTATGAATAAAAGTACAAAATGTCTAGTATTTTCTTTACAATAATAAAAGAACAGAGACTATTATTAGGCATATAGATACACTAGGACTGGCCCTGAATAAATATTAAAGTTGTAATAAAGAACATTTACTGTATAAGGTCTTTGATTGGTGCAGTTTACACTCAGCTCCTAAAGACTGATAGCTTGATTTCACCTGGAGGCACTGATAGTGGAGCTCTTTGGTGGCAAGCCGGTAGCTTGGTATGTTGCTAGCATACCAAGAGACTGCTCATCTCTGGCAGTTGGAATCCCTCTGAAGCTCTACAGTAGAATGCCGAGCAGTCTTCTCCCTCTTAAGAATCACTTTGAGTCAGAATTGACTTGATAGCCATGAGTTTTTTAGTTTCAGAGGCACTTAGGGATCTCTGGTGTCAGAGCCCATAGGGAGATGCATTCCTAACCCAGAGACCTCACTATTCAAGCCGTTTGAGCCGACCATTGACTCTGACATGGGCAATCTCCTGTGCTTAAAGACTTAGAGCCACTGTTGTAGAATGGGACTGACATCAGAGTTGGGGTAAGACTGAGAAAAACTGGATAAATTATGTATACTGCTTTGAAATAGATGAGGGAGAGAACAGTTTAAAAGTGATATGTGATAGGGTATTATGGTTATGACAAGAGTCCAGAATAGAGTTTGCATAGTGGAGTGTACTTGGGGCGTGGGGCAGGGGGAAGCGAGGGGATTGTATACTAATGAAGGCATTTTTCTTTTACTTTTCAAAGAGAAGAACGAACTAGGGAGGAGGGGTGGTCAGGGAAAAAGTGCAGCAGTGAATGAATGGAAATACAAAATCTCTATAAATGTTCATTA